AAAAAAAAGATATATAATACAAGAAATGAACAGTTAAATTATAAAGCAGTACAAATGGCTCAGTGCAACTCACTCCCATGAGAGAGTTGTGAGACACTGGCAGTTCTTCAAGTCTAATAATATCGAATGAAATTTTTCCTCCAAGACATTGTTACTGGAGCAAGTGTATTTTTTTAAAACTAGTTAATGGAATAAATTGGTTTTCCCCAAGATACACTAAACCTGTGCTGAGTTGTCTGAAATAATGCTTTGCTTTGCTTCGTTTGCTTTCTCATAAACTTTGAATGGACATTGAGTCATGACTTGATGTTCTCCATACATTAGCCCCATTTGTTTAAATATCACAAAGTTACCATACTCCCACCCTAGATTAGCCTTGAATAATTCCACAAATATTTAGTGAACAGCTGCCATTCAAAGCTGGAGACAGAATGGTAAACAGGGCGGATCCAAACCCTCATCTCTTTCTCAGAGCAAAGACAGATATTAAACAAGTTAACAAGTCAATAAATGATTTGAAAGTGTGAAAAGTTCCAGTAAGAAATGAATGCAAACAAATGAGGCAGAAAATGGGGGTGGAAACGCCATGTTAAAGCAGCCACTCTTAAAAAATGAGAGAAGATTGAGTAACAAATTGTCGCCTTCTGGAAACCCTAGATAAAAATATTTCAAGAAGAGAGAATGACAAACACAATTACCATGAGCAGGAAAATAAGCCTGTTTGGTATTTTTGTTTTTTTCAAACGACATCAAGAAGGAAGGATCTGGGGGTTAAAAAACTAAACAGTGGTGGAGGGGCGTGCAGTAGGAGATAGCAGTGCAGCGTTCTGTAGAAGCCAAACCAAGTGAGTAACTGAAGGTCACAGTATGGCGTTTGGGTTTTATTTCAAATTCGAGGAAAAACCACGGAGGAATTTCTGTGAACTTCAAAAGCTTTCTCGATTACCCTATGGAGTAAAGAGACCAAGTCGGAGGCTACAGCAATGATTAAGGCAAGGCTTTAAAGGGGAGTGTGGAAGTGCTATAACGCTGTCAGATTCTGAATGTGTTTTAGAGAGGACACCAAACTCGCTCAATGACTGGATATTGTCCATAAGTAATTGGCCACAGTCAGTAAAGTAGAAGGTGTGGTAACAGAAGGAAAGAGTCAAAGAAGAATTCTACATGTTTGATCTAAGCAAACGTGAGAATAATTGTATTGTTTGTTTAAATGAAATATACTTGCGGATGGCTAGGTTTTTGATTTCTTTCATTTGAGTTGTTGTTATTGCTGTGCTGCTACACATGATCAAGTCCTTTTAACTGAGTGGCCTCATGTAAAACGGAACACAACACGTCCTGGTCCTGGGTCCTTCTCACCTTCAGTGTGTGTTGCTGGCAAGTGTTGGAACCCTAGCTCTGTTGCTTCATAGGACACCCAGCTGCGTGCATTGGTGGTTCTTAATTGTAGATATACAAAATCCCTCTTTTAAATAGGGCTCTTCTCTCCTCCCTAGAATAAATGAACATTCTTATCTGTACCAGTTACTACATCACAGGTCCTTAGAGAAAAGCCAATCTGTACTTTGTTTCTATATACGTATTCAGACATATTGGTAAATTCCTCTAACATAAAACTAGGCATATAAATCATGTCCTGGCACTACCTTATTCTATTGGTATAACAAGGCCTTGTAATAATTCAAAAGTGGTTTTGGATCATCCACTTAACTTGAAGGTAGTAATATATATATATATATATCCCAGATATGTTTCTTCTGTTGTCTACTCCTTAGCAAGTGTACCTTGGGAGTAATTATGTCCTTGACTCTTGGCTCCCTCGAAGCAAAAGCAGCAAAGAGGTGGCATTTTCCTTGTAAGTAGAACCTTGGGAGAGAATCTGATTTCTTACAGAACTGCTATTTCTTTATGCTCATATATGTCACTATTCCAGAACAAGTCACATTAATCATCTATGCGATCTTGTTCAGAAAATGTTCAAATATGTTGGGTTTTTCTGATTTTTTAAATGACTTCATAGTCAGCTCAGCCACATTCTCCTGGAGCCCCTGCCTGGGTGCTCCTGAACTATTCTTTAGAATTTCAGAAAACGGGTGTTCTGAGATCCTTACATTTTCTAACTTTTAAGGGAAGAAAGCACATATCTGACATGAAATAAGAGATTTCATGCCGTGTATAGCACAGGAAACCCTTTCTTATTGGCTTAAGTTGTCGGATTATAGAAAGAGGATTGACACTAGTAGAATATAGAAATGTATGGCATTTCTGCTCCCAGAATTTAACAACTGGACTCCAAAAATGGAAAATCCCTACAATAAAAGCAATGAGGAATTCTTGCAACTTCCTAAACCAAATGATTTTTATTTTGAAGTATTACATATTATCTTCATTTCATTATCTTTACTCACAAAATACAAGTGGAAGTTGTGCACAAATTATACATACACTCAGTCATTCATTCATTGTCTCCATACAAGTTATTTTATAATAGTAAATTTTTCATTACACAAAGATTTGATTTTAACAATTCTACATGTCAACACAATAACACTATCTTTTTGGTGACTTCCTCTTGAAGAGCAGAAAACGCTAAGGAAGGTTTTTCTTTAAAAGAATAAGATATTTTGTGTATGTTGATGAAATGTTATACAGCGATATAGGTTCCCCTTTGACAATAGCCACAGAAATTGATTGGTGACATTACTTGCATTTTTTACATTGAGCCAACATTCTCATTAACTTTGTTCTCATTGTAATACACTTGGGGTTTTGTTTTGTTTTATTTTTGACCCCTTATCACCTTAACTTTAGACTAATCACCTTAGCTTTAGACTAAATGGTGACCATTAAGACTCTATAATTTTTTTTGTTTTTCATAGAACACTATCTAATGGGAAATATCCTTTAATTTATGTGTAACTCTGCTCTCTATTACAAGGAGATAAAACGGTTTTGGTTCCAATTTGAGGAATCCCAGGTCTAATTGGTCAATTGTGGTAGTGAGGCACCATCTAATTCTAGTTTTAAGGTAGTTGAATCCATGACTTATGGAAAATAACAGCCTTATAAACTGGTTTATCCTCTTTCTTTTTTTCCTTTTAAACATTCTTAGTCTCTTGCTCATGACAAATAGAGGCCATTGGTTGACTCTTAGGTGGCCATTTGCATGCTATGAAGACTCCAGACACTACCCTCTTCACTCAGATGCAGAACATGAACTTCGTGAGCTCCCTTATGTCAATGGACTGTGCTGTCCCATGAGATCATCGTCCCGAGAAAGGTCTTTATGGGCTCTGTGCATTGCTCCCTTTACTACAGTTTATGCTCTTATTTTCAGACTACAGTTCCACAAATACGATGAGCATTCACTTTGGTCATACTAATCTTGCGCTATCTCCATCTCAGATAGCTTTCTGGAAAAGTTTAGATCAGTGGCTAAAGTCAAGTCTCCAAAAACAGATATTTATATAATACATCTAATATTATTCTATTTTATTTTTAAAATCCACACTATTGTGTGCCTAAGGAGCTCTATGGTTTAGGGGACCTCATTGTGCATCTAACGTCAAGCTCTGTACATCTAATTTCAAAGAGCCCTAGGATAGTAAGCAAAGCATGTGTCAGATTATTATTATCTATGTAACATTTATATCAATAATAAATTATTGGACTAGATAATGATTAGAAAAAAATAAAAATTAATATTTTAATGGAGAGATTTTTTTAATAAAAAATGGTTGTAAACTGAGAAAACTTAAGATTGAGAATATAAACATAACTTCCCCTTGTCCTTACATTATGTTTTAGCTTATAATTTTGTTTTTAGTTGTCCTCCCTTAAATATGTTCCCATCCTTCTTACTAAAATAAGAGAAAGGCCGAGCTTTCTGTTCCCGTCAACAGGGAAAACTTCAGAAACCTACAGGGGGTGGTTGCTATGAGTCACCATTGACTCTATGGCAGTGAGTCTGACTGAAAAAGTTTCACACACACACACACACACACACACACACACACACTATTCCAAGAGAAATTTTGTGGATTTTCAAATGATTGGAATGAAAAATGGCTGCAAAAGGACAAAAAGTATGTGAGGAAGAGCGTGGGGTGTCGGAAAAAGAGAATCATTTCAATAGTCATCCTTCCTGCACCCAATGAGTTTATGCTTCATCATGGAAAAGTATCACTTACGATGGATGATGAGTGTTCATTCTTTGGTGGGTTTAAGATCCAATGTGTCTCTGTGGCAATAAATTCTTTTTGAAAAATTAATACCAGACTAATCCTAAGGAGTTAGATTTAAAAGATGTCCCCAAATGTCTAACTTTTCCAAGATATTTTATTACTTGAATTTCTCCTACTCCTTCCCTTAGTATATTCTGTCATGTCCCTGGTTTCTGAAATTCACTGTGACAGCTCACAGCCTCATGGAACTTTAAGGACATGTCTCATGTGATTGCGGGTGCTTAAGTCCCAAATCCAAGGGTCAGGGCACACACAAGCCAAATTC